CATAACCAGCGCTGCCCAATTATACAGGTAAAACTATCTAATTTCCAAAAATTGTGTTTTATACACACACACACACACATATATATACACACACACATGAATGTTGCGGGTTCAAATAAATGACAGCCACTATATGTCTTGAAATCTACAAGAGCCGTTATTCAGCTAGCTGGGCTACCGAGACACTAAAGACGTTTCCCCGCACAGCAGCCCCGACGGAGTGGACTTTACAGTCCATCTTTAAAGGCCCCAAACTCATTTGTGACCTGTCTGGGAGTCAAGCAAGCGTGAACAGAAGCAGAAAGCAAAATTAATGGATGAATTGTAGCTTTCAGAAGAGCAAGCATGCATTACAAGGTACCTTCCTTATCATAAATGAAACAATACCAAATTTGATTATAACATCCTGGTTATCATGATAAGATTAACTACACCATACAGATTACAACACCAAAAGGATCGATATCGAAAAATAATTAAGACAAACGATATATTGAAGTATAGCCTAAACTCATTGTAGTGTCCTGAACCTGGGGATATGGGAGTACATTCTGAAATGAATCCCCAGCAGAGACTTTGCCACAAGGGGAGGGAGAACGGGCAGGTCGACCAGCAGTTAACTTCCTGAGATGGGAGGGAGGAACAGGCAAGGCATTTAGCAGCTAACAAATACGGAGTTTCTTTTGCTAGTCTGCCTCACCACGAGGGGACTTTAAAAAGATCTTTGAAAAATGGAGCAACAAGATAATGAGTCGGGTTCTCACTCTGTGAAAATTCCCACTCGCTTATATTTGTTTGATAGATGTTTCTGTAATTTTGTAGCAGTATGCATATACACAAATAGATATAGCCATTTATAAAGTATTGCTACAAAGTTACAGAAGCATTTACTGACACAAATATCCGATGGCAAGTTACTGCTCCTGCCCCTGGAGGAGTTCTGAAGACAGTGTTCCGCTCTCTCTAGCCCGTCCCCAAAGGGGTTCTTCTTCCAGTGGCACCCCACCACAGCTGCCCTGAGGAGTCAAATTCGGGCCCTTTGGATGCTCTCTAGTTTGGGGTATGTCGTTGCCATGGAAACAAGAGTCTTACAGCGTTGTCATGAGATAAAAGTCTGCGGCAGAACTTTCCTGGACTTTCTATCACAAACGTAGTTTTCAGATCTCTTCACACGTCTTGCCCTGGTGATTGTCCTGTGTCCTTTGAGAAAACCTTTTAAGATGACACCTTTGGGATTCATGCCCCCCCGAAAACCCCCAAACAAACAAACAAATCAAAATCAAAACATTCACCTGAACTATCTGTGCTGACCTCTGTGCCTTGACTTTTTTTTTTCCATATTAAAAGAATTAATATTGACGATGGCAACGTATGTACACAGATGCTGGCAATAATTGATGTATGGCATGTTACAAGAGCTGTAAGAGCCCCCAATAAAATTATTTAAATAAAGATAATATTTATTATGCTTTCTAACCCTCACATAGACCTGTTTGTCATCTTTTTACCCAGTTAAATTTATTTATTAAAAAAATTCATTTGAACAGTTTTATTGGCATGTAATTCACAATCATGCAATGCATTAGTTCAGTCATACTAAGAAGAGTTTTATAACCGTCACAACCCACTTTAGAACAGTTTCTTCTTTCTTGTCCTCATTGTTCTTAGCTCCCCATTTCCCCCCCGACACCCCCTACCAACCCCCCAAGAAACCGTTCATCCAAATTCTGTCCAAAGCTTCTCCTCCCCTGGATTTCATAGACAGAGAAGCACACAAACAACAACAAACCCAAGCAACAACGAAACGAACAACAATAACAGTAAATCCGAGGAAAACCTCAATCGAAAAGCAAGCAGGAAATGTTGAAAAGTCGAGCCGATTTAAAATGAGTCGAAAGGGCGATCAAACGCTAAGCCGTTCCCTTTTAACCCCGGTGCGCCTGAAGTAATCCACTTTCCATTGTGCTCTCATGACAGCAAGGCTGTTCGCATCCCTGGCCTGTGGTCGGAAGGGATTCGTGGGAGGCTTAGGTCCACAGGTATTTCCCCTTCACTTGAAAAGAACCACTGCTCTGAATTGAACTGGTCCAGTAGATCCCCTCAGAAGCCACTCTCGACTGGATCTCTATTTTGAAGGCACCCTGGTAGCATTGTGGTTTTGGGTTGATCTGTGATTCGCAAGGTTGGCAGTTTGAAAGCACCAGTCTCTCCAGGGGAGAAAGGGGGACCTTTCTGCCCCCATAAAGAGTTACTGCCTCAGAAACTCAGGGGCAGGTCTACCCCACCCTGTGGGGTCACGATGAGTTGGTGTTGACTCCATGGCAGGGAGTTTCAGGGTGTTGTTGTTGTTGTTTGGTGTAAGGAACCTAAAACAAGTGCACTTCTGAGAGACCCTGTGTGCAGCCCCCACTGACAAGGGAGCCTCGTTTAAACGCATCTCGTAGGGAGCGCACCTCTGTGTGTGGGAACGGGAACCGGAGCGGCCTGTGTTAGCGGCCTTTACCCTCACTGGCGTGTACATCCTGCTGAAGTGACCAAGCTTTTGTTATTGAGCGGGCATCCAAACGCTTGTGGAAAAAGAAAAAGGAAAACCAAACCAAAACGAAAAGAGCCCACATAATTCCAGGTCTGTCTGCTGACCTTGATGACTGTCTCCCCACAGGTCCTGGGGGAATTCCGGAAGCCGCCCCTCCTAGCCTGAAGTCTGTTTTGGGGGCTCTTCAGGGGCTTTGTGTTCTGTTCCCTTCTTGGTTTGCCCTGCTGCCAGGGGTTGGGGCTCAGACTGGATTAACTCCCCACTGTGTGTCCCCACTATTGTCCTCTGTTGTGGTGTGCTCCAGTGAGGGGACATCATCTCCAGCTGTGGTCAGCCTACAGTCCTCTCTCTGCCTTGGCAGCTCCATGCGGGGACGTCATCTTGGGCTTGGTCTAAACTGTCCCTCTCTCTCTTTCCTTCTTGGTTTGCTTCCGTGTGGGCGTGGCAGGCCTGCCCCTCTCCCCAACCTGCAGACTCACTCTTGTTCTCTGTCCCACATACTCCTAGGGAGGTGGTCAGTTTGTCTCTGATTGGGACCGGTCCTGTAGCCCAATCATTCCATGCATTGCTCCACGTGGGTCCGTGGCCCTCAAAGTTTGGTGTGACATGGTGGGGTCTGCATGCACACCCAATTCTGTGGAGACCTAACCAGTACTCTCCCCCTGGGTGGGTTAGTGCCCTATTACCCCATCCCATGCCATCATCTCCCTCCCCTCTTTTCTCCCTCCTCCTTTCCCCCTTTCCCCTTCTTTGTGTTGGAATAACATGTACCTCCTCGGGTTTGGTCCGACCTCCACCTGGCTGCCTGCACTTCAACCTGTATAGCGTGAGATAAGTGGCTTTTCTTCTGTACCTACTGTGTTGGTTGTACTTACCTCAGGGGACTCATGTTGTACTTGTCCTTCTGTGATTGGCTAACTTCACTTAGCATAATTTCCTCCAACTCTTTGTTTGGTTTCTATTTTGGTTTGCTTATTGATATAAGACAGGCCTGGGAAGCAAGCTGGAGGAGAGAGCAATGGGACTGAAGGCCCTGGAAGCACTTGGGGGTGAAGGAGGTGGGGAAGGGGAGCCATGAGCAAACAATGCCTTAGACAGGGAATAACTAGGGAATTAAAATCAACAACAACAACAACAAGGATATAGGGCTTCTGGGGGTGTTGGAGCAACAGCAGTCTAACGGAGAGGAATTACTAAGAGGCAGAAGGAGAGCAAGTGTGATGGTGGGGCAGGAGGAACGTGATAGGAAACAGGAATGATCTAGAGAGCAAGAATATGGATAGAGGTATAATCATAGGTGTGTATATGTGTTAATACATTAATTCATAAAAATAGAGGGATCGGCCCATGTGCATATATTTATTTATATGACAATGCACTGAGTTAGTGGATAGATTTCAGGACTCTGCTCATGTCTTCCCTCAATGCAAGAGTACTTTGTTCTAACAACCTGACATTCTGTGATGCTGACATTCTGTGATGCTCACCCTCCCAGCACAATCGCTGAAGACAAAATGACTGCATAAGCAAATGTGGTGAAGAAAGCTGATGGGACCTGGCTATCAAAAGGTATAGTGTCTGGAGACTTAAAGGCTTGAGGTTAAACAAGCAGCCATCTAGCAGAGAAACAATAAAGCCCACATGGAAGATGCACACCAGCCTGTGCGATCGTGAGGTGTTGCTGGGACCCGATAATAGACCACAAACAAACAAACAAATCATATTGTTGGGAATGAGGGGGGTTGGAGCAGAGACCCAAAGCCCATCAGTAGACAATGGGAAATCCCCTCACAGAAGGGTCTCAAGGAAGGGATGAGTCAACCGGGGTGCAGTAAAGCATCAATGAAGCACACAGTTCCTTGCGTCTTCCTCACCACCCACTATGATGACCACAGTCCTGCCTTTCACTGAGGGCTAGATTGGAGCATGTGCACAGGTACAGATAAGACATAAGAGCTCACAACACAAAGAATCCAGAAACAGGAATGGGAGTAGCGATACCAGAGGGGTAGGGGGAAGGTGGGGAGAGGAGGGGAGGAAGGGAGAACTGATCTCAATGATTGACACATATTCCCCCCACCCCCCCAGGGGAATGAACAACAGAGACCATGGGAAGGGAGACAGAGTTTGGTGTAAGATATGAAAATAATATTAATTTATAATTTATTAGGGGGCCATGAGTGTGGGTGGGTGGGGGAAGGGAGGGGAGAAAAGAGGAGCTGATGCCAAGGGCTCCAGAAAAACAATGTTTTGGAAATAATGATGGCAACATATATACAAATGTGCTTGACACAATGGATGTATGGCTTGTTACAAGCGTGGTAAGAGTCAATCTTTTAAAAAAAAAGTTTGTGGAAAAAGGCACTTGACAGATGGCAAATTTTGAACCTTTGTATTTTTTTTTAAATTTTAGCATCTGCATCGTTTATTGATCACAGCCTTTTTTTCCCCTCTGCCCTTGCAGTACGGCCAAGTATAGCCTGCTGACCTTTCTACCTCGCTTCCTATACGAGCAGATTAGAAGAGCTGCTAATGCCTTCTTCCTCTTCATTGCCTTATTACAGGTAATTCAATTCATTGCCTTATTACAGGTAATTCAAGCAAATGACCGGGCACCGGAATCACAGGTCCAACGGGAGGGATTTTGCTCAAAGGCTGTGTAACTGGGAGTGTTGCACATATTTGCATGTGGGTTACTTCCCTCATCCATGCGTTGCTAGAGTGAACAGAAACCATCCTGGTGAAAAGAGAGGTGGTGTAGTGCGTTATCCATCGGGCTGCTAACCACTGCAAGGTCGTCCGTTCGAAGCCACCAGCTACTCCTTGGGAAAAAGAAGAGGCTGTCACTCCCATAATGAATCTCAGTCTCGGAAACCCACAGGGACAGTTCCACCTTGTCCTGTAGGGTTGCTGTGCATCGGCATGGACCGGGGGCAGTGAGATATCTTTGGGTATTGCATTTGGGATAACAGGGGAACCCTAGTGGTTACGCCTTGGGCTGCAATCATCAAGGTCAGTAGTTCAAAGCCACCAGCCAGCCAGTTCCCCAGGAGAAAGAGGGAGGGGGCTTTCTACTCCTGTAAAGAGTTACAGTCTCAGAAACTCCCAGAGGCATCTCTACCCTGCCCTGTAGGGTCTCTGTGAGTCGGCATCAACTCGATGGCAGTGGGTTGAGATAATGGCAGCATTTAAAAGAACCATTGGTGAAAATGGCTCTACCCTCACCCTCTGCCCCTCCTCCGCCCCCTGTTCCAAACACATAGCGATGTTGGAGTAGGAAGGGAAGCAGCTGTTTTGAAACTCAAGGTCATCATCTGTGTGTAGGAGCCATGGAACGGGAGTGTGAAAAGATGAGGGGTTTCTTGATTCCGGGTTTTAATGTGCTGGCCTCGCCTTCGGTCTCTTTATCTTCCAGCAAATTCCAGATGTGTCTCCGACCGGCAGATACACCACCCTGGTGCCCTTGATCATCATTCTAACCATTGCCGGCATCAAAGAGATTGTGGAAGATTTTGTAAGTGTTTGCCGTTGATAAGATCAGAGGGGCGGGAAACATTGTACTGAGCCATCCTCACTGACCTGCGCCCATTGTTGCAGCCACTGTGTCAATCCATCTTATCGAGGGCCTTCCACTTTGCCGCTGCCCCTCCACTTCACCAAGCATAAAAAAAAAAGATCAGAGGGGCTTTACGTTTATAGGAAATTGTCATTATTTTAAAATGTTTATTTTACCCACACATTTTCTGATGCCCACCCCCCCATGTAAAACAGCTTAATTGGATGAATATGATATATCGCTTTGTATGGAAGATGTTTGGTGGCGACGTGGGTTAAGCGTCGGGCTGGGCACGGCCAGGGCAGCAGTTTGAACTCACCCGCGGCTCCGCGGAGAAAGACGAGGCTGTGCAGAGAGGGTCTCTGGGAGTCCCAGTGGACTCAGTGGTGGCGGGTGGGTTTGGGTTTGCACCGTTCTGCACCACAAGCGGAAGACAAAGACGCTGGGCGAGCACTTAGTCAGCCTCTTCAAACTCAGGGCGGCATTTTGGGGAGTGTGGGGGGGTGGGTATAGAATCAGTTCGCCACCAGGTTCTTCCTGGATGACACCCCAAGTGTCTCCCATCCTCAGCCAGTCACGCGGAGTGGTGCAGACTCTGCTTTCCGATGGGAAGTCTCATGTCAGCAACCCCTGGCAGGCCCCTCATCGCCCACTCAGAGCTTGCTAGACGGAGCGGCACACCAAGGATTGTCCTGGGGCCTGGTTGGGCAGCGTGGGACCTGGGTCATTGTAGGACCACCTGTTTCCTCCTCACACTTAGCCCAGAAGAGACATTTCCTCCTCCTCTCCCCTTCTCTCCTGCTCCCCTCCCCCTCTCTTCCCCCTTTCCTTCCCGTCTCCTCTCCCCACCTGTTCCAGTCTCCCCTCCTTTCTCCCCTCCCTCTCCTCTCCCTCTTCCTGTCTTAACCCCTCCCCTCTTCTTCCTCTCTTCCCTCCCCCTTCTAGAGTATTCTCCTCCCCTCTCCTCCCCTCCCCTCTCCCTTCCTCCCCTTTCTCATACTTAATCCTTCTTTTCAAGCTAATTAGGAGGGAGACGTTTATCCTTAAAAGTGCTTGCTAATTGTTAGGACCAGGGTCTCAAAGCAGAGTGGACTGCACGCAGGTCCAGGGTGACAGGGACCCCAAGCCACTGGGCTGAGTCGGTGCTGTTGGCGCCGAGGTGCCCCTGGCCCCACTTCCCGCATCCCATGGTTTGCTGTTTCAATGATTCATTTGGAACTTTCAAATCTGAGGATTATTTTCTTTCTTTCCGTGACAGAAGCGGCACAAGGCTGATAATGCGGTTAACAAAAAGAAAACAATAGGTAAGCTTCCGGCCGGAGTCACTTTTTCCACCAAGAAACCCAAGAACGAGGCCCGTGCCCGCCCTGAGTCTAAAGCACCGAGTTGTTAGTTAATGGCAGGGCAGAGACGCCCGGGGTCCTGGTCTGTGATGCGTGGTAACAGAACAGAAAAACGACCAATCCAATTGAGCCCGATGCCCGCCCTGAGTCTAAAGCACCGAGTTGTTAGTTAATGGCAGGGCAGAGACGCCCGGGGTCCTGGTCTGTGATGCGTGGTAACAGAACCAGAAAAACGACCAATCCAATGAGCCCGATGTCAGCCCCCCACTAAGGTCTGAACAGGGTCTGTGAAGAGTCCACAGCACCCACATCCGTGGTCTGCAATGGCTTCTTCTCCCCTTTCTGTGTGCTGATTTCTTGAGTATCGCGCCTGCTTTGGGGTGTTTGGTGTGTTTTAACCTGGTAGCAGCAGGCTGACTTTTGTCCATGTGCATTTCATGCATGTTGTGCATCAGGGCGCTCAAACATGACAGCAATTGTGAGGGTGGCCGGGAACCGGGCAGTGATGCCTTCCATGCACCCGGAGACAACTTGATGGCGTCTAACAATGATGATAGCCACTTCCCCGCACACGGGATAGAGTTCAATTTTTTGCGTGTGTGGAGCATGTTATGCTATTCCGTCTACATACCCAGTTTATCTGGTGACAGGACATGCTCCCATTCGTAGACACAATTTTAGAAGGTGCCTTTTGGATTCTAGGAGCCTTGGCAGCTTAGCGGTTAGGTGTTGAGCTGCCTATTGCAAGGTTAGCAGTTCATAACCGCCAGCCGCTCCTGGGGAGCGAGATGGGGCTTTTTATTCTCTAAATCAGGCGTCCTCAGACTACTGCCCGTGGGCTCCATGCGGCCCACCGAAGACATTTATCCGGCCCGCCGGGTGTTTTTGCCCAGTTTGTGTTTTTACTTCAAATTAAGATATGTGCAGTGTGCATAGGAATTTGTTCATCGTTTTTTTTTTTTAAAAACTGTAGTCCAGCCCTCCCTATGGGTCTGAGGGACAGTGAACTGGCCCCCTGTGTAAAACGTTTAAGGACCCCTGCTCTAAATAGTGACCGTCTCAGAAACCCACAGGGGCAGTTCTACCCGGTCCCACAGGGTCGCGTGAGTGGGCCTCGATTCAATGGCCTGCGTTTGGCTTTTGGATTTTAGAAAGCCCACCTTCTTTCAAGCCTCACGCCTGTCACTCAGACTGTCGCCTCTCTTTGCTCTTGCAGTGTTGAGGAACGGCATGTGGCACACCATCATGTGGAGAGAGGTAAGCACGCGTTTTTAAGGACAGGCCACTGGGTCATCGTCTGGGGACGGGTCCCTTCCAGGTGACGCTGAATGCAGTGTCAGCTTTGTGCTAAGACACAGGCTGGGTCCCTCTCTCAGGTGTCACCTTATGGGTGGAGAGCTGAGGCACGTTGACCCTGACCCCTGGCCGCTTCCAGAAGGACCCAGTACCCTCTCAGGGTGTGAATGCTGAAATCGCAAAGCAACCTGCAGGTTTCTAAATCCAATTGGAGAAAGAGGGTGCTCAGCTCCACAATTGTCCTACTGGGTTTTGTTGTTGTTTTATTTTTTCAAGCTTCCTTTTTCAGAAACACTTTGAGACCTAACTTTTCATCTGCTCGGGGAAACAGTTTTGGGATTCTGGTCATCATTAATTCTAGAGCGGGGGAACCCGGGTTGAAACATCAGCTCATTTTGACCCCAAGGCCAGGGTGGGTCAGCATGGCCGATACACTCACTGCCAGTCCAGCCCGTTCTAACTCGCATCTGAGACGGAAACTCAGAGGTGAAGCCGCTCACCGAGGTCCTGTGGCACCTGCTGGTGAAGTTTACCTTTGATCTAGCCCTTCCCTGACTCGAGAGCCCGCGTCCTGCCCAGCATGGCTGACACGGTGGGACTGCTTCTGCGGATCCCAGCAGCACAGCCCTGGGAGACTGGGTCAGCCACCCCTGATGGCGCACGCGGGCTGGAACTTAAGCCCCACCCCACATGTCACTGTGTCCCGTGGATGGCTCAGAGGTCCTTCCCTGGGCTGTTCTGATCTCGGCCGCCAGCATCCCCATTCACCTTGGACTGAGTGGGGGAGGGGGGCCTACCGGGGCCCCACCCCTTCTCTCTCTCATTCCAGTTCACATGAGGCCAGCCAGCGGACATGGCCTCTTGCATCTCTCATGCCCATTCACCTGCCAATTAAGTTAGACACATCGTCCCCCTTTGCGGTGCATTTCTAAGAGGTGTGGGGAGGTCTTTTAGATCCATGGTCCAAAGGTGATTTTAATAAAACCGGCCTGTGTCAGACGGCCTGTTTTTGAATTCTGGCTTTAGCACCCACTAGCTGTGTAACTACCACGGTTTACCTTGGGGACTCAGTGTCACCATTTGTGAAACGGGGACAACGTCTCTGTGTTCACTCAGTCGGACCTCACAATAACCCAGGGGAGACATGCTGCCATTCACCTTGGACAGAGAGAAAGCCGAGACATGTAGAGACCACCATCACAGCTGGAAGGTGTGCCCCTCGGGACTTGAACTCAGGCCGTCTGGATGGCTCTGAACCGGCCGGCTCTTGGGCACTCTGTCCAGTGGCATACCCCGCCCAGGACATGTTTAGTACCCGCAAATGAGTTGTGAGAAGAAAACAAGATCTTGGTGGGTGGTCTGACTCATTTCCTTCTTTCTCTGCCCCTGATCCCCTCTCCCTCCACCCCACCACTTTTTACATGAAATATTAATTGTAAAAATGTCAGAGAAAGTAATGGAGGCGAATTTGGACTTCTTCGGCTTAAACTTCATGGCCCAGTCACATAGTTATTAAAATATATATATTTAATTATTGTGATCTCCACTTGGAAGGAGCTCTGGTATAGTGGGTTACGCGTTGAACTGCTGACCACAAGCCCAGGGTTCGAAGTCAACAAGGAAGCTGCTCCACTTCAGTAAAGATTTAAATTCGTGGGAACACCACGGGGCAGTGCTACTGGGTCTTCCAGGCTCACTCTGAGCCCGAGTCAGCTTGATGGCAGTGAGAGGGAGATCTTCCACTTGGGAGTCCCTGGGGGTTGCATACCAGGCGCGCTGGCGGCTCTGCTGGGGAAGCCTTGGTCTGTTAACTGCCAGGTGAGTGGTTCGAAGCCACCAGCTACTCTGCAGGAGAAAGGTGAGGTTACAGGCTCCTGTAAAGATGGAAAGCCTCCAAAAGCCATGCACAGGTATAGGGTTTTTATGAGTTGGAATCAACTTGATGGCAGTGGGATTGGTCATTGCAAATGGTTAACCAGCTCAGCCGTGCACCAGAAGGTTGGCGGTTTGAGCCCATTGGAAACCTTTGGAGCCCAGTTCTGCTTCCACACACACAGGGTTACTAGGAACCAGGGTGGGCGAGACGGACCATGACTGATGCCAGGATCGCGGCTTCACTGCCTCTCTCTCATGCGTCTGTGTCCTTGTGTCCGTTCCGCAGGTGGCAGTGGGAGATGTCGTGAAGGCCGTCAATGGACAGTATCTTCCCGCAGACATGGTCCTGCTCTCCTCCAGGTCAGCTGTGCCAGTGGACACTGATTTTCAATGAGTAGTTAAGGACCAGCATGCCCCAAGCGACAAATGCATGTCGTCTTGGGTCACCTTTCCACTTTGACCCTCAGAGGCAACGCGTGTTTCTCTTTCCACACCCTGCTCTTCCGTTTGAGTCTTCCTGCCTGGTCCTCCTCCCTTCTTCCTGAATGAGCTTGCATTCTTTGGGGGAGCTAATTCAGAGCAGTTGAGTAACTGATTGAGCAACCACCAGCTTACGGTGAAGCCCGTCTTTCTGCCTTGTTCCTCATGGCCTAGGCAGTGTCTCTCCCTGGGAGCCCAGTGCCTCCTGTAACCCACGGTTCCTAGAGGTCCCGGCAGTTTCTGTGAACTCCATTTCCTCCCCGTTAGTTCCTGTGCTGCCCTTCTGCCTCCCCTGGTATCATTTCCACATTCTCTGGGTAGTTTTGTTTTATAAAGGCATTAGCACACAGGCTTTTTGTATCATGAACGATACTATCCTTGACTTCTCCCTAGGTGGAGCTTGAGACATTGAGTCTGTATCAAAGAAAGAAAGAAAGCCACCATCAGAAGATGATTGAGCTGCAGCACTTGAGTTCCAGATAAAAAAGGATGACCCTAAACGATAGATACTTCCCAGAGTAGGGTACCGCTGAGAATCATGGGTGTGTGCGCTGCTTGCATTTCTTTCAGGTTACAGTCAGTGTGGCTCATTCTGGGGCTCATGACTCATTTGGTTACAAGCTTTCTCTTTAATTTCCTGCTCAAGATGAGAGATTCAAACTGAGTAACCGAGACTTAGGGAGGAGGCAGAGCCCCATGAGAGTCAGGCAGGACTCTCATTGTTTTAAATTGTGATTGATAATAAATAAATGCATTCTAAAATGATTAAACCTCATCTATGCAGAGACCAGAAGAACTAGATGGTGCCCATCTGCCCCTGCCCACTATTCAAAACAAGAACACATTAGACAGCTCCTGATAATATGCAAGGAACAAAACATTCTGAAACAAAACAAAACATAAAAGCAAACACAGACAGACCTACAGGACTGGAGGACTCCCTGAGACAACTGCATGGAGATGTTCTTCAAATATGGAACCCAAACTAATCCCTGACATCACCTTGTGGTCAAATGCAACGATGATTATTACTCAGAAGCATTGTGTCCCTTAAAAGAAATCGCCTGTGTTAGGTGCTGTTGAGACTGATTCGTAGCAACTCTATGGTTGCTTTCTAACCAACCCTGCGTAAGACAGAACAAAGCACGACCCCGTCCTGGGTTGCCCATAGTCATTGCTGTATTTGCTCTCGTTGCAGCCGCTGGGTCAGACCCTCTTATTGAGGGTCTTCCTTATTGTCATTGATCTCCAGTTTGACGAGACGCTGTCATCCTCTGTAACATGTGCCAAGCACATGAGACAAACTGCCGACAGCCTGGTTTCCAAGGAGCATTCTGGCTGTGCTTCCTCCGAGACAGATCTGTCTGTTGGCTCCTCTGACAGCTGATAGTAAACAGTCAGGATCCAGCTTGTGAACATCAAATTTACATATAACTGGTGTCATACTAGGTTATGCATTGAGCTGCTAGCCACAAGGTCAGAGGTTTGAACCCATCAGCCATTCCACTGGCGAAAGATGAGGCTGTTTACACCTTTAACTATTTAAAATCTCAGAAACCAGTTCTACTCTTGTCCTATAGGGCCACTATGAGTGAGTTTGTGTGTGTGCGTGCATGGGCGCACGCACATGCGTGTGTGGTTCTAGTTGCAAACCAAGCCCTGGAGAGCTTATTATGTTAAACATGTGAAGTAAGTACATACAATGGTTCATAATGACAATTGAATGCTACTTTTAAAGACATTATTGTTGTACTATGTGAGAGATGTGTTCGTGTTTCTGAGATTGCCTCTCTAACTTTTTTTTGTAGAGAGAAAGCATACTGTATACTAAGACAAACATTTGGCCCACTGACCTTAGATATGAATTGTAATTATGTACAGATTTGACTTAAAGGCACACTTAGGAAAAGGAGCATGTTCATCACTAGGGGCGACCTGTTTTCAGAAGTCTTTACCACAGCACTATCATTCAAATCATCAATTCTTTGTCAGTCTTCCTTATTCATGCCCTAGTTTTCGTGCATATTATGTGATAGTGAAGAAGTTCACCTGAAGGGTCCCTGAGAGTCCAGATGGGCGTGATAGCAGTAGGTTTTGAGTGGGCGGGTTCTATGAGGCCAAGCAGCCAATCAAGCAACCTTGAAACAAGGAGGGAGACTCTCGGGTGCAGGGAAACTAGGTGAGTGGCACTCACGAGAACGTTCTCGCATTGTGAAGACTCTAACAATGTCGTTGAACAGCCTGTATAGAATTTGGTGATTGGGAACCCTGACTGCGTGCTAACCATCACCAGAAACACCATAACATTTAATTTAAAATATTGAAATACCAATCACCACATAGTTAGAGGCACGCGTCTTGGCCATGACCCCAGGGACCTGTGGTTTTAGCACGGGATTGTTTTGTCTGAGAACGCTCGTTCCCAATATTTTTGTGCTAAGTACGCGATCCCATTTGAGTTTCTGAAGAGTCCCTGCCGTCCTTCTCCAAAGCACCAGAAAGCCAGGCACAGAGCCATGAAAGGACTGGCCAAGGCCAGTGCTGATGCAGGTCGGGAGAGCGCAGCCAGCGGGATGGGAGGGTCCCTGCTCCCGCTCCCCCATGTTGGAACTCTGAGCACTATCTTTCCTAGCCTCCAAGTGTATGGCTTTGATGAAAAAGTTCCTCTTTGACCTAGATGTAAAAATGTAGTGAAAGAAATGCTTGTTTCACCTCCGTCTTGGTCCCTTCACGACTCTGGCTACAGTTTTCTTCCCAAAGTAGGTATGTACCACCCTGCCTGGGGCATCTCTTTGGGTCAGAAGTTGCCCTGAAATGCAGGCTTGAGCCTCAGATTTGGGGCTTGAACCCAACAATTGGGCCTTTGCTGGAGCAACGTGTGTTTCAGAAAGCATGCCTCTCTCCATTCATCCATACTCATCCCTGCTGTTTGAGCTCCACCAGCCCCCACTCCACCCCCTGCCCACTCCACCCTCCACCCCCACCCCCCTGCATCATCCGGACCAACAGTCTCGTCCTTTAGTGTTGAGCCCTAAGGCTGAGTGCTCATCACCTCTTACCGAAGTTGTGGTGTGCAGCCATGTGTTTCGAAGGACTGATCAGCAAGCCTAAGGAGCCCTGGTGGGGCATCATGGTTATGCATTGGGCTGCTAACCACAAAGTTAGCAGTTCAAAACCACTAGCCACTCCTCGGGAGAAAGATAAGAGTTTTGATTCCTGTAAAGAAGTACAGTCTCGGAAACCCACAGGGGCAGTTCTACCTGTCCTGTAGGGTCACTATGAGTCAGCATCCACTCGACAGCAGTGAGTGTGGTGTTGGTTGGTGTCAACAGGACTAGTTTCCATAATGGTGGCTTCCATGAGCCACCAGCTGTGTGACGAGGGTTTTCTAACGTTGGCTGTCTTTTCTTTTCTCTCTGTAGTGAACCTCAGGCAATGTGTTATATTGAGACCGCGAATCTAGATGGGGAGACCAACCTTAAGATACGCCAGGTAACTCAAGTGCTTAGTATTGTGGCGGCCTCATCCCAAGTATGGACGACTGCCCCCACCCAATGCCAATTGCTATGTAAAATCTTTTATTCTAGAGCAAACCATGTGCTACCACCAAAGGTAAGGAGCCCCAGTGGTCTAGTGGATTAGGCATTGGGCGGCTAACCGCGGGATCTGAAGTTCAAAACCACCAGCCTGCTCCTAGGGTATCTGTCCCTGTAGAGATTTACAGGCTGGGAAACCCAGGGAGGCTGTTCTCCCCTGACCTGTAGGGGTTGCTGTGAGTCAGCATTGAACCCATGGCAGTGAGTTTGCTCGTGAGCATACGACTGAAGGTTGTTCCCTGACGCTGATGACATCACCGCCTCCCTCCGAGGGTGAAGAGAGCTCCTTGTACCAGAGCTGCAAAGAACGGGCTCACGACACTGCAGGCCACCAAAGGGATGACCTGCGTTTTGTCTCGGAGTTCTTGACTGGCTCTCTCCTGAGTGGTCGAGCCACGCGCCGAGGGAAGAGCAGCAGTGGACACACCCAGGCCCCTGACCCTACACTGTTGCTTCACCTGCGGTTTTCATTCCAGAGAGGGACACGCGACAGACACATTGGTCATGCCTTAAATAACCTTTTTTTAAATGGCCATGGCAGAGTTTTATTTCAGGCGTTATTTAACAAACATAAGCTGGGTCAGGGCCAGGCTTGAGTCTTAGCACCCCGTCAAAGGCCCACCCTATCACGGTTAGGTGCCGTCTCAGAGGGCCACCCAGCAGCTGCACAAAAACAGCTCAGCAGGGGAAGTCAGGAGCTGGCAGCGAGACTGTCTCCATGTTGCCCACCCCCCACCCCCCCCAAAAAAAAACCATCTTCCCTTCCTACGACAAGTTACCACAGACATTGTATTTGGAGACTACTTTCGACCCCCAACCCAAACTCACTTCCATCAAGTCAATTCCAACTCCTAGGTGACCCTGGAGGACACAGTAGAACCGCCCCTGTGGGCTTCCAAGATTGTAACTCTTTATAGGAGTGGAAAGCCTCGTGTCTCTCCCATGGAGCAGATGGTGGTTTCGAACTGCTGACCTTGCGGCTAGCAGCCCCGTGAGGCACACTACGAATACTTTAGTTAATACTTTGATGTCCTCAGTGTGTGGACAAACAGAATGATCCAAGCCACTGGATGCGGCAGCTACCGTGTCCTTAAACGTCAAGCTGCTGCAGTTTTAAAAAATTCACTAAAGATGTTCTGTTTCTTTGGTCCCTTACACGTTTGATTTTTGACTCTGTTGTGGTGTTTTAAAGGGGCAGGGGCAAGGGCAGGATGCAGCAAACACACCAAGGGGTCCTTGACTCTTATTTTTCTCACCTGAGGACAGTAAATCGGAGGAGACTTCAAAAAGTTCATGGAAAAACTCCATGATCTCCTAACATCATGTCTCCATGAACTTTGTGGAGACTGCTCGTAGGTCGTACTTTGGGTCAGCTCGGAGTGTGCGATGGTTCCCCAAACCAGGCTGCTTTCAGAAAAGCTTCTTCTTGCCTCGCTGTTGGGCAAGGTTGGCATCCGATCTGCTGGGAGAGTGTGTTGGGTGGGACTGATGACTTGGCCGAGCCATCCTTCTAGATGATTAAGATCGGAATGCTGAGCACGGTGTCCCAAGCTCTGGCGATGGAGATGGCTTCCAGTCTTCTGGTTTCGCCCGTAGGGTCTGAGCCACACGGCCGACATGCAAACGAGGGAAGCGCTGATGAAGTTATCTGGAACGATCGAATGCGAAGGACCCAATCGCCACCTCTATGACTTCACGGGGAACCTGAACTTGGATGGGAAGAGGTAGCACCCCCCCCCCTTCTCATCCCCTACTGCGACTGAGCAATACTGGGACGTAGGTTATTTTCTAGCTTCAGAAGAGTTTTTCAACCGTGAGGTTTATTCAGGGTTAGCTTAGATATGAGAAGCTGGGCTTTCCTTGATTGAAACACCCATTTCAGTCTATTTAAACCATCCCTTGGACGTAAGGAGCCTTGGTGGCGTAGTGCTTATGCGTTGGGCTGCTAACTGCGAGGTGAGCAGTTCAAAAACCACTAGCTACACCTAGTGAGAAAGACGAGGCTTTCTACTCCCATAAGGCTTCACAGTCTTGGAGACCCACAGGGGCAGCTCTGACCTGTCCCACAGGGTCAGTAGGGGTTGGAATGCACTCCCTGGCAGTACGTTTGGTTTGGGTTGGTTTTGTGTTGAAGAAGAGAACCCAGGATCTTCACCTGAGGTTCAAAGCACTTGACCTGCTCTTCACTCTGTGTGGTACTGGCCGGAGCAGGGAGACGCTTGAGAAGCCAGGTTTCGGAGGGCACGCAAGCTAGCAAATGGCCGTGGAGGAACGTCAAGTGATTCTTGCCAGCCTTCTTCCAACCCATGCGCATCTCTCTGTTTGGGGAAAGTCGAGTAAAATGAAAAGCCATTCCCCTGCATCTGTTGTCTGCGTCCTCTAGACCTGGCTGTCTCGGAATTCCGTTTATTGTCTGAGCATCATCTCTCGTTCCTATGTTGGGGCGTGGTGCCCTATTTTCTGCCCCTCTTTCATTTGTGTTCCTCTTACCAATACTCCCCACAGGCTAGCGGGCTGAGGAAGGACTTGGTCTCCCCAAGTCAGCCCAAAACCATGTGACAACTACGAGTGGGGGGGGTCATCTTTTTGCCTCTCATTTACTCTGCATAGCCATTCTCCTGCCCTCCCTGCGCTCCCCAGTGTGAACGCCTAAGCTATCATTCACAGTTTTACTTAGTCATCGCCATCCTTGGTGATTTCAGAGTGTAAACTTATCCCTGTGTTTAGATTTTTTTTTCCTCTGAAAAATAAGTCTTTCATTAAACCAATTCATTTATTGAATTACCGTGCCTTAAAATGTTCATTTTATTCATTATCATTCAATTAAATCAGTTTATTTACTTAGGAACAAAATCATCTGGCTGTTCCAATTTGTTATTTAGCAAATGTTTCCTTGCCAGGTCTACAGTTCTGTAACAAGCTCAAGTTGGTCACTCATTAACATTTTACAAAATACAAAAAAACCCAAGCAAACAAAATAGCCAGGAAAAGACAGCCCCACCCCCTCCGCCCTCGCCCCCGGACACACACATTTTTTGTGGTGACAAATGGATAGAGTACTTCTTGTGCTTGGTGTTTTGGGGTTGTTTTTTTTTTTTTTTTTGGAGTGGTGGGAGAGAGTGGGGAAGGCCCTGATTGGCCCTGGGGCCTGTCAGTCAAGTCTGTCAAATTTGACTAGAGGAAGCTTTTGACTTGGTGTGGGTTTCTGCTTCAGGGGAAGGCCTATTCTCTATGGCCAGATTGTCATTAAATAGGCATGCCCTTTCTGACTTTCAGCCCCGTTGCCCTTGGGCCCGACCAGATCTTGCTAAGAGGCACCCAGCTTCGAAACACCCAGTGGGTCTTTGGCATCGCTGTCTACACTGGACACGACACCAAACTCATGCAGGTAAAACACTTCCGTGCTGGAGAGCCACGCCGTGTGGCCATCGTTTGTGTGTTCTCACCTGCTGTTAGTGGGTAGAAGGTGGGATAGACAAGCACTCTATCCAAGAAACTCAAGTTTTTACGCACGTTAATTTGGAAAGGCGATACCTCCATTGTAGCTGCCTGGGTAGGTTTTTTCCCCCTTTGTTTTCATTCTGAATTTCTGTTATCTTTTCAGATATTTGTTATACCTTGCCTGAATTAGAAACTGTCTTTGTCTTGTGGATTTAGGAAAATAATCATTTTGGATTTGCTTTTTCCTTTTTCTTGGCTTGAACAGAGTTGGGTCAAAGTATTTTCCCCAACTTTTTTCTTCTCACCCCATTAGTTTGGATTTGGCAAGAAGTTGCCTTATTTAAATGAAATGGAGAACAAACAATTAAAACAGTGGAAACTTCAGGTCTCTACTTAAGAGATGAAAGGGAAAATATTAAAATGATTTCACTTATTCTTCCAGCAAATATTTCTTATTGTTAATGAGAAATGCAATGTTCCTTATATAACATTATAAATGTACGTGCTATATTACATATAACATTATGGGATGAAGGATATGTTGAGAAACAGTAGCTTCACAGTTTGATATTTTTGTGTGTTAGTCTGGGTTGAGTAGAGAAACAAATTCATTGACACTCATGTATATATAAAGAGAGCTTTATATCAAAGAGTATTTATATATTCAGCCCAGTCCAGATCAAGTTCATAAATCCAATATTAGCCCATATGTCCGAAACCTGTCTATAAAGACTCACGCAATACATGCAATGACACCAAACTCAGGAAGATCACAGGCCAGTGGGTGGAAAGTCTTGTGGATCCAGTGGCAGTAGAAACATCTCAGCGCTGCTGTGGGTCTTCATGTGGCTCCTCCAGCTCTAGAGCTCATGGCTCCATGTGGCTTGTCAGTAGGAAGGTGAAGCAGAGAGAGAGTTCTCAGAATCCTTATGAGAAGGCAAGGCCCACAAGGAGGGGATCAATCGGGCTGTGACTTGATTGACAGGCTACACTCCACCCCTTCATTCTTTCATCAATAACATGAAATTTTGTAACTACCACATTTTGTGTAATAAAGGTTTCTATCACTTTTTAGCAGCTTTTTTTACTTACCCACATACTGTTGTGGTGTAGGGCTTACGAGTTGGGCTGCTAACCGTAAGTTCAGCAGTTCGAAACCACTAGCCGCTCCTCGTGAGAAAGATGAGGCTTCCTTCTACCATAAAGAGTTACAGTCTTGGAAACCCTGTGGAGCAATTCTGCTCTGCCCCAGGGGGTCACTGCAAGTGAGAATCAACTCGATGGCAGTGAGTTTAGTTGACTTGTACTGTTGTCCATTAAACGTACAACAGCATTTTGGAAATGTTTGCAATATTGTGAGAATTACAAAAATGTGACACAGAGTCAGGAAGTGAGCATATGCTTTTGGGAAAAGGGTACTGATAGACCAGGGCTGTCAGAAACGCCAATGTCTGCAAAACAAGGTGTCCACAGAGCACAAGAAAGCAGAGCACAGTAAAACAAGGGTGAGGAGATAAACAAGTACAACACTGGTGAGAAGATCGCAGGGGGCTTCAAAAAGCTTGTGGAAAACAAACCAGATAAACAAACAAGATTTAGATTTAGGGGGGAGCAAGCTCACAGTCTTGAGAACCCTGCAGATTCCCGACCCCTCTGTTCTAAACAGAGTGGGCCAGACTCAGTAATGGGCCCCAGGTCTGTGGTCAAGCTGCCTCTTTGGTCTGAGTCATTATGAAAAGGAGGGAAACTGTAACTGAAGTGGACTGGGACTGTTTAGTGACAGACAAACTTGTTGGTTTGGGGAAAACAAAGTTCGTGGAAAAATTGAATTAAAAGATAATGGGATTTGTCTATGAATTTTTCGAAACCCCCTCTTTTATCATCCTATCTTTTCAGCCTGATTTGCAGTGACCCTTGGATCTAGCCATAGTGAATCTGTCTAACCTTGACTTTACTCCCCACACTGGCCTGGCTGGAGCCAGGCTGCCGGCCCTCCCACTCCTTCAACACTACCCAGGGAGAGAGTAAGCCAGACTCAGTAATGGACGCTAAGACTGTGGTCAAGCTACCTCTTTTACCTGGCTTTTTTTTTTTTTTTTTTTAAAGTATCTGTCTACCTTGGGAGGAGCCTTGGTCGTGTCATGGTTACATGTTGGGCTGCTAACTAAAAGGTCAGCAGTTCAAAACCATCAGCTGCTCCTCAGGAGAAAGACAGGGCTTTCTACTCCCATAAAGAATGTCTCGAATACTCACAAGGGCAGTTCTACCCTGTCCTGTCGGATCACTGTGGGGTCATGTATTTAGAATGTGCATGCTCCGAGGTGATGAGGGTGGCGAATTTTGCCACAAGACGCAATCACAAAGCCTGGAGCATGTAGTTAGGAGGAGCTGGCACGTGTTCTTTAAACCCGTAGAGGTGCCTTCTGCCTCCCCTACTTTCAACTCGCTGTTGACTCAGGAGCATGGGGCGTGGTTCCTGGTTGAATTGTTTTGGTCATTTTGTAAAGAAGAGAGAGTCTGGTACCTAACAGATGGTACGTTTGGCGGTCCCAGCCTCCTTCGCCTGCATCCCTTGCTCCCAAATCTGTGTTGTGCCCTTTGCTGACTTTCGATACTATTGTGCAGAATTCAACCAAAGCACCTCTGAAGAGATCCAATGTTGAGAAGGTGACCAATGTGCAGATCCTGGTGTTGTTTGGGATCCTCCTGGTGATGGCCTTGGTGAGCTCGGTGGGCGCCCTCTACTGGAATGGCTCTCATGGTAGCAAGAACTGGTACATCAAGAAGATGGGTGAGTGCTGGGGTGTGTGTGTGCGTGTTGCTGATTGATGTAGGACAGAATGTGCTTGGCATGTTCTTCCACAGGTAGCCAGGCACCATTTGGCTCCTGTATATAATGCCAGCCTTTCAAAGAAGATCGAACAATTATGAGTTGTGCTGAAGTAAAGATGCACCCACGAAGGGACTAGTTTTTTGTTTTTTTTTAAGGGACTGGTTTTTACTCAAATGATGATGATTTTTTGGTAGCGCATCTTTTAAGCTACTTTCTTGGTGGCTTTAATAGATGTCATCTTTGTGTATCAGAATCCAGCTCTTATTGACCCTGATTTAATCTAATACACGGAATGAAGTCATACTTCATTCTCGTAACCCCCTTTCGCGCTTCGATTGTGTGTCTTTAGCTGTTGTTGCGTGCCGTCAGGTCCATGTTCGCTCGCAGCAACCACATGCACGGCACAACGGAACATCACCAGGCCCTGCGCCGTCCTCACGGTGGTTCTTAGGTTGGAGCCCGTGGTTGGGGCCACTGTGTCCGGCCATCTGTCCACCTCGTCCAGGGCCTTCCTCTTTTTCACCGTCCCTCTGCTTGACCAAGCATGATGCCTTTTCCCCGGAGACGAGTGTCTCCTGACAACAAGTCCAAAGCACGTGAGACAAGCAAGTCTTGCCATCCTCGCCTCCCAGGGCACCCTGGCTGTCCTTCTTTCAACACAGGTCGATTTGCCCTTTAAGCAGACCATGGACGTTCAGCATTCCTCTCCAGCGCCGTAACGGACATGCGTTGGTTCCTCTTCCTTATCCAGGGCCAGCTTTCACATGCACACGAGGCGATTGAAAATACCCTGGGTCGGGCCAGGTGCATTGATCCTCAAACAGCATCCTTTTCCTTTCAGCCCTAGTGAAGTCTTGGGCTGTGTATTTACTCAATGCAACGCGGCCTTCGATCTCCGGCTGCACTGCTGCTTCCACGGTCATGGGTTGTGGATCCAAGCAAGACGGACTCTTTGAGAACTCGGATGCTACCCATTGGTCTAGTTGTGAGGACTTGGGTTCCTATCAATACTATGTTACTGCTTAGCTGCGTTTCAAGTCCAACAGTGAAATGTGATCATAAATTCTTGTAATCTTGTATCATCTAAAGATCCTAAATGAAAAAAAAGAACAGGAATGACACGGTTTAAAAAAGTTTATCCACAACTACTTAGTTTATCCACAACTACTTAGTTTATCCACAGCTACTTAGTTTATCCACAACTACTTAGTTTATCCACAACTACTTAGTTTATCCACAACTACTTGGCATCTTCAGCACTTCTCATTTTTGCCTGTGCACAGGAGGGAGCCACCACTTTTATTTCCCTGAATCAAGTAGCTTCATTTTCTCCCCATTTCTCTGTGCTGTCATGCATCTCTAAATGTTGTAAGAACAACAATGCAATTTCATCATTTTTGTTTTGCATTTTAAAGAAATCAGATACAGAAGAAAGAATGAAACTATATGATTATACACTATATTAGAACTACTTATATAATCACCTTGACTGGTGCTCTTTTTTTATGGATTTTAATTACTATCTAGTGTCATTTATTTTCATTTTGGAGAACGTTTTAGCATTTTTTTTTTTTTTTTGGGTAAAACAGCTAGCAACAAAGTATCTCAGTGTATATCGTGGGATGCCGTAATTTCTTCTTCAGTTTTGCTGGATAGTAAATTTGTGGCTGGCATTCTTTTTCTTTCAGTCGTGCGACGATGTCCTCCTACTGCTTTCTGCTGCCCATTAGTTCTGACGGGAAGTCAGCTGTCCGTCATCGGGGTCGTCTTGTCCAGGAAGACCTTTTCTCTTGCAGCTTTCAAGATTTTCTCTTCGCTTTTTGTCCTTTAGTGGTTTTGCGTCTACTCTGGAGTTGATTGGGTGGCTGGGATTTGTAGATTGATTGAATTCCCTCTTCAGATTGCATATTTACTATTGATCGCTCAAGTTGGTGTGTTCTCTCTTCAGCAACCTCTGTCTAATGTCTAGCTCCTCTAGCGCCCTTTTAAAATTTCAGTTCTTATCTTTTCAAGTCCAGGACTTTTATTTGATACTTGCAAATCACTTATAAATTTTATTCATATCATTTTTGACGACTCATTGTCAACACACTTTCCTTGAGTAGTTTAAACTTATGATTTCCTTTAGTTCTTATAAAATGCTTGTAATAACTGTTAGGGGAGCTGGATCCATCGTCTGGACTTCCTCAAAGCCAGTTTGTGTTACTTCCTTTCCCAGCGTTTTTCTTTCTTGGCACATCTCACGCATTTTTGTTGAAAATCAGCATTTTTGGAATTATAGTGTAACACTCTAGAACCTGATTTTCTCTTTCCACTGGGGCGGGCTGTTGTTGAGTTCCTTGTCTGCACGGATCTATGAACTGTGTGTTCTTCGGCAGTGTGAGCTCTCTGATGTAGTATTGTTTGGGCTTACTGGGATTATCTGTAAATTTAAAAAATGCCCAGGTCAGTAGTTTCTAGTATGTTCATAGGTTTATGTAAACCTCACCTCATGTGAGGAACTTTAGATGATGAGTGTTCTGCAGTTTTGTCCAGTTGGGGAGAAGATCTACTAAGCAACTTACATAGCCATTCCAGACAAAAACATACATTTTAATGGCACAATTATTGAATGATGCAATTGAACTTTAAAACATCAGGAATGCTTTCTTGGGATTATTTGGATTGTAGTCTTTAAGTATAGACTTTAAGGCTGATGAAAACAGTTTTTCCTTTTCTAATTATTTCATATCGAAAACAAACTCTTCTAACCAACCGTGAGAATCCATGTTGCCGCATTACAAATGTGGGGACTGAGACTACAGCTTGAGTTATAGGTTGAATTCACAACGCACTGGCTTTAGTTCTTGGAACCTGGACATAGACCAGTATTATATATGTAGCTTCAATGATGAGTTTTGGTATTGTGTCTGTATGTCGCTCTAGAACGCTATGGTCTAGGTGAAGGTACAGCACTGGCATTATATTGGCCTTGGGGAGATGGAGTCACATTTAAATTACCCAGGTATCATGTCATCCCCCAGTAGCAGTCACATGATGTACCCTGGTTGGATGGTTCTTGTCAGATCTAGAGCCCTCTCTGTCTTGATGTTTGACAAGTTTTACCTGTAGGCAAGGACGGAGTCTTTCTGGTAAAAGCCGTAAGTACTGCGTTCGGCTTGTCCAACTGCTGGAGCGTGGACCTCACGTCCTAGTGGGTTCTGTCCTTGCTGCTCTTCGCTTGATGGATTTCGTCTCACTGGAACCTTTATACGAAGAGTAGAGAATTCTTTCTTCTTCTGCATCTCTCGTCTCTCCTTGCTTTGAACCACAACACTCCAGAGTTTTTTTCAATCTTGAGTTTGGGTCTTTGTGTACGTGCTTCATTCCTCAGTGCTGTAAACAATGACAGACAGACACGTCTGGCCCATGCGTAACACCTATGCTTCTACTTGGCAGCTCTTCAGGAGGAAGTTGGGATTGTCAGCTCCCGTAAAGAGGTATACCTGGGAAACCCTATGTAGGGGTGCTGTGTATTTGAATCAACGCAATGGCACTTGACTTGGTTTGGTTTTATTTAAAAATAATTTTAATTTCAGTTACCTTCACAGGTACCTTAGCTACTAGTCAACCCCTCGGACTACTACAACTCTTACCACCCCTCGCCAAGTACAGCAATCTTACTAATGTGTGCTTCACCCGGGATGCCGGGACCATCGGGATCACCTTCCTCTTTAGATATTGTCCCAGGTGGCCTTGCCTCTGCTTTAAGATTTCAGTCCTCCCGCTAGGCATTTCTATTCTTCTCTTTGATAAATATACTCAAGACCTTTCACCTGTCTCTCTCTTGCCGGGTTTCCATGTATGCGTTTCCCATCGTACCAGACTCATCGCATTGCCCCGGCTGTAGCCATGCTTCGGTGCGATTGTAGGTACTCCGCCCCCCTCACCCCCACCTCAACTCTTTCTGACGTCAGTTGTCTTCTCTGCATCCATTCCAGTTAGCCACTCTCTCCTTGTTCTCCAGCACTTGACTGGAGCATCATTTCTTCTCTGTGGCCATCCGCGACCACGCTTCTCTATGGAAAGTGTATGCTTCTGCAGTGCCTTGTCACCTGACCCCCACCCGTTATGAGAAGCCCCTTCTATCTTAGCAGGGATGGTATCTGCATAGTCTGTGGGTTCAGGGTTCCTGACACATGGACATATTCAGTAATTGTTTACCATGGATTTTTAAATTTACATAGACACTGATTGACTTGTGTTGTGAACTCCTCTCGGGGAAATCCTCAGAATAATACAGTTGCAGCAAACTGGACAGAGGTTTTGACTAAAGCCCCCCCAATATTCTCGTTTTCCCTACAGACACAAGCTCGGATAACTTTGGCTACAACCTGTTGACGTTCATCATCTTGTACAACAACCTGATCCCCATCAGCCTGCTGGTGACCCTCGAGGTGGTGAAGTACACTCAAGCCCTTTTCATGAACTGGGTGAGTCCGAAAGAAGCAGTGACCACAAGGTGCGCTGCGGGGTGATGCCCGTCACCTTTGCTCATAGTGTCTCAGCACCTGGGGCACCTAATTAATGTCCCCCCAAAGGAAGAAGATGGTTATGTTGGGGTGCTTCCAGAGGCTCAACTGGCCCAACAGAACTGGATGGTGTTGGCATGTGTCGTCAAATTAGGCCAGTGGCTCACCAACCAGAGTGTCTCCAATGACTTACGGATCCCTCTGGCGAGTTGAAGTGACCCAGAAGCACTGGACCACGAGAAGTTCTCTTGTAAAGTCTAAAACACGTTCAACCATAAAAAGCAAGCCCTAAGCGTTTTTGAAAGAGCAAGAAGAAAAGTTGGCCACACTTCATGAAGGTGCAGAGGAAGGGAGTCAACTTGCATGACCATGGAGGAACGTAGGTCAAACGTCAGGCTGCGGGGTGACCTGATAGTGGCGACACCTTCCCTACCGTCTCGGCTTCCTCATCTATGAAATGGGCAGGGCAGTCGTACTTCCTGACTGAGTTTCTGTGAAGACTGTGTAAGACAGTGGAGGTGGAATGCCCAGCTTTGAGCTCTGTTGGAGTTGGACGATGAGAAATGAGTGTCACTATTGCTCAATATTTTAAGAGTCTGGTGCTGAAGCGAAGGTCCTGCCGTCTGTTTAGTTTAGTGTTCATTTGGTCTCAACATTCGTTGTGGTAAGAAGCTTGCTTTTCATTTTAAGGGTGGAGTGGGGGTTTGTAGAGATGGAATCAGTTGTGTTAACATGTGATGTATGATTATTTCTTAGGGCTAACCCCCACAGCTTATAAGCTGACACCTGGCTCCTAAGGGGTGGATTTTAGCAACCAGTATTTGCAGATCCGATTTTTTTTTTCAAACGTTAATTGAAGGCTTGTGTTTTGAACCCTGTGGGGTAGTGGTTACTTGTTGGGCTGCTAACTGCAAGGTCAGCACTTTGAAACCCCCCAGTTGTTCTTCTGGAGAAAGACGGAGCTTCCGATCCTCTAACGAGTTACAGTCTCAGAAACCCACAGGGGCAGTTCTGCCCTGTCCTACCTAGAGGGTCACAATGAGTTGGCATCGACTCGTGGCCGTGAGCCTTGCGTTTTGGTCAGAAGAATTGTTTATGTCTGTTTGTTGCCAAGTTTAGAAAGGTTTTAAGGGGGACATATTCAGGGTAGTTAAGTTTCTTAAGCCTTAACTCATTACATAGCTTTCTGTATTATTTTGTGCGCGTGGTGTTGCATGGCTGTCGGTGACAAGATCCACGGCGGAACAAGAAGGCCAGGAAGCCGTTTCTCCATGTACAGTCCAGCGGGACTGATTGCTATCTTGGTTATTCTCGCCTCCTGTGGTGGTTACATAATCTGGTGTCTCTTGGGACTTGAGAGGCTTGATCGTGAAGGGGTGGAGTCCAGTCTGTCAATTGGACCTTAGCCTATGAGGCCTCTGTGTGGGCATGGCCTCCTGAGAATTCTGGGAACTCCTGCATTTTCCTCCTTGGAGACGGGAGGCACTTTCTCTGTTCACTCCCTTGGAGACTCACTACCGATAAGGTTAACTCCCTGCACGTCATCCTTGAGAAGAAGCCACATGGACTTACCCTGATGCATTGAGACCTCTGGAGCTGGAGAAGCCACGTAGAGACCCCTGCCAACGTTGAGATGCTTACAACGCCACTGGATCCACAAGCCTTCCCACCCACTGGCCTGTGATATTCCTGTGTTCAACATCATTGCATGTGTTTTGTGAGTCTGAAGAGGACTTTATAGATTGGTATCAGACATATGGGCTAATATCGGACGTATGGACTTGATCTGGACTGGGCTGGGATGTTTTCTCAGTATTCCGTTGCTCTTGTAGATAAACCTCTTTCTTATTCACATATGAGTCTCCATGAATTTGTTTCTCTAGTCTACCCGGACTAACACATCCCCCTTTTCCAAAGGGTTCTTCCCCCATTGACAGCAGCTCAGTGCCCCCACCTTTCCTGTTGAATTGTTTGACTTGCTGCTGCTGCCATTTGGATTCCCTGTCGATCGCCTGGGCACGTGTTATGTGCAACCTGCATAGCAATTCTATGAAAGTAGTATTAAGGGGGCTTTGGCATTTCCTTTGGTCTAGGGCATAGGTAGGTGCCCAAGCTTACTTGGCTTACAGGCCCCTTTTCAGAAAAAAAAATTACTCAGTGCCCCCTGGCCATGAGAAATGTTCATACTATAGCTCATCATCCAGGATACGGGGTAGGTATCTGCTCTTGCAGCTTGTCCTGATTGTCCCCCAAGCCCACGTTGCGGAACCCTGGTCTAGGTGATGAGAACTCATCTCGCAGTCAGACCCCCTGTGCGTAGTACCAAGTTGACTCTTAGTTCACACTGTTTCCCACAGTCAGAGCCGCCGTTTCGTTGCCTGATTTAACATGAGCATTGATGTCCAAATGCAATGGTTGTAAGTTACCCGTGCTTTGGCTGCTTTTCTGGGCTCACGTGAATGAACGGTGGATGGCGCCTCGTCTCTAAGGTGTTCTCTCTCTCTCTCCGCCCCTCAGGACACAGATATGTATTACATAGAAAACGACACTCCTGCCATGGCCAGGACGTCTAACCTCAACGAAGAGCTTGGGCAGGTGAGAGCCGCTTCCGGCACTTCATCGTCAGTGACACAGCTGGGGAGGTGGCCGGGGTCCGGAGACTATCAGAAGCAGAGCTCTGGCATGCCCTGTTGTTGCTAGGTGCCATCGAGTTGGTTCCGACCCATACTGACCCTGTGCACAGCAGCCCAAAACACTGTCCGGTTCTGCGCCCTCCTCACAATTGCTCCTGTGCTTGAGCCCATGGTTACAGCCACGGTGTCCGTCCGTCTCGTTCAAGGCCCCCCTCTTTTTCACTGCCCCTCTGCTTTACCAAGCATGAGGTCCTTCCCCAGGGACTCGTCTCTCCTGGCGACATGTCCAAAATACGTAAGACAAAGGTTTTTCATCTTTGCCTCTAAGGAGCACTCTGGCCAGACTTCTTCCAAGACAGACATGTTTGTCTTCTCAGCAGTCCTTGGTATGTAGAATGTCCTTCTTCAGCACTGAACACTGCCACAGTTCAACTGCACGGAGTCTTCGTCAGCCTCCTTCATTCCATGCCCGACTTTCACATGCAGAGGGGGCCATTGAAAACACCAGGGCTCGCGTGAATTCTCCATAGACGTGGTTCTTCCAGCTGAAGACCTGCTGTCATGTTTGAGGACAGTCTTCTTCTTATTTTCTGCTTTATATGAATTAGGTGCAGGTTGACAGGGCAGATCATCAGTTTTCCATTCAACAGTTCACACACATTTCGTTTGAGCTCATTGACTGCAGTCCTTACGATGTACCCTCCCTTATCACATGCCTTCTCTGTTTCCTGTTCGCATTCCTCCTCCTTTCCCAGCTCTTTGGGTCTTTGTCCTTGGGTACATGCCGCCCTGTTGATTTTACTGGGTGAGTATTCTGAGGTGTGCCTACCTCACTAGTGTCCCCCTTGTAGACCTATCTATTGGCTGAACATTGAGTCATGAGGGTGCGTGCACTTGAAGGATGACTAAGGTTCCACCAGACTCTATCTGACCAGAAAGGCTGGTCTTTCTTAGCATTTTGAAAACTGCAGGTATTCCTGTCTCACTTTTAAAAAAATTAGTAAATTGTTTTATTGGGGCCTCTTACATATATTATAACAATCCCTACATCCATTATATCAAGCGGACTTGTGCAAATGTTGGCATCAACATTTTCAAAACACTTATCTTTTTTCTTGAGCCCTTTGATATCAGCTCCTCTTTATTCCCTGCCCCCTCTCCACCCTACCACCCCTGAGAACCCTTTATATATTATGTATTGCTATTGTTATTTATACATATCTTATACAACCCATTCTATCCTGTCACCTACTATCCTGGTATTCGTCCCCCTTGAGGGGGTTTATTCCCACATCTTTGCTCTCCGTTCCCCCTTTCCTCCCCCTTCCCTTCCCTACCCTCCTGGATTCTCTACTCCCATTACTGTTTCCAAGGGCGTTTGTCTATCCTGAATTTTGAATATTGAAAGCTGTTGTCTGTACTGGCGTATGCACACCAGTCTAGCAGGATTTGTGAGGTAGGACTGAGATTGTCCATCAGTGTGAAACTGCTCCCTGGATGTATCTTCTCTTCTGCGCAGCCCGTCTGCACGGGAATGTGAGTACATTATTAATTGGAAACTTGGGCTTTCTTTTTGGTACAAGGAGCTGTGGTGGGTTAAGCATTGGCCTGCTAACGAAAAGGCAAATGGTTTGGACTTACTAGCTGCTCTGCAGGGGAAAGATGTGGCTTTCAGTCTTTATAAAGATTTATAGCCTCAGAAACCCTAAGGATTGTCAGGGCATACCAGCCCCTAACACATCATCACGAGTCTGGTAGGTGCAGTTGTACAGCGATAATAAGTAAAGATTATAGTAAAGTCATAAAGAGCATGAGAGATAGAAGAGAGATTGATATAATGGAGTCAGACACATTTCATGGTAACAATGCTCACCTCAGCCTCACTTGGTGGTCCATGTGGAGAGAGAGAGAGAGAGAGAGAGAGAGGGAGAGAGAGAGAGACAGAGAGAGAGAGATTTATTGCTAACCAAGGCTTTTATATTCCCTGGGGACATGCAAGCTCCCTAATTACAGGTGAAGACATATGTCACAGGAAAGGGTTGTGCTATAGGTAATAACAGTAGTGGGAGGGGGGTGATCTAGGGTTATACACACACTAGGAAGAGGAGGGTTTGGGGTATACATGTGACAAGATGGGCAATCCTAGATACAGGATGAGAGCTTAACTTTGGATGTCACTGATCCGGTTCCACCTTTTCCCTGGCTCAACTGTAGAGACCATGATCAGTAGGGTGTGAACTCCACCTACAGGAAACAAATGGGTGACTGCAACCTTTTAGGGAGAAGTAGCCCATGGTCCTTAACAGCAGGGAAGGGCCCTACCTTGGTGGGACCAGACAGTAGTCTGGCAACCGACTGCCTTCAGGGAGGATGTCTCTAAGCATCTGACCTCCCACCATATGCTGGCAAAAAGCCCCTGATGTTTGGCATGTCTTTGGGGGAGACAAAGCTGGGGAAAAGTCTCTTTATAATCCCACAAAGGATCCGTTCTCTCTGTTCTGTAGGGTCACAATGAGCCTGCTCCAATTTGACGGCATTGAGTTTTGCTTTGTCTTAGCACAGGTATGATTTATCACAGAAAAAATCGAGTACACAAACATAGGAGAAGTCATCATTTGGGGCTGGTAAAAATCTTGTATCAGGAGCAAGTGATGAAGAGTCAGTCACTGTGGACCCGTAGTGGCACAATACAGGGTTTCTAAGGTTGTACATCGTTACAGGAGCTGACGGCTGTATTTTCTTTCTTGGAGCAGCTGGTGGGTTTGAACTGCTGACCTTGAGGTTAGCAGCCCAACTGCAACAAGGGATTCAAACATAGTGACAACCGTGAGGGTGGTGCAGGACTGGGCAGTGCTCTGTTCTGCTGTCCATGAGCCACTGTGTTGGAACCAAATCGACGGCCCACGGCCCGTCACGACACCATAAGCAACAAAGTAATTAGATCATCGGAACCCAGATGCTGTACCCCGCCTCCCCCCAATGTTTATTCTGCTGAAGTCTAGGAATTGATGATCGAATCTGGAGCAATGACGTCAGCCATGCGATTATGTGTTAAATTCGTGTCTATAGCAAGCAACCTTATTTTCAGAGATCTGTTGAGCTGAACTTTGCCATTAGTACATCTTGGTCTTAACACGGGAAACACTGCAGGAAATCACACTTCTTGAATGTTCTGCAAACAAAGATGACAATTCCATTTTATACATCGTTCTCATTTAAACAAGGAGCCTTGGTGGTGTAGTGGCTTGCACTGTGTATTGTTAACCTCCAAGTTAGCAGTTCAAAACCACCAGCCATTCTGTGAGAGAAAGATGAGGTTTTCTACTCCTGTAATATTTATAGTCTTGAAAACTCACAGGGGCAGCTCTACTTTGCCCTGCAGGGTTTCTATGAGTCTGAATCAACTCGATGGCATTGAGTTAGGATTTGGGGTTTATCATTTAAACCAAGAGCCCTGGTAGTGCTGTCAGGTAAGTGTTGTACTGATAAACCTCAAGATTGGTGGTTCAAACCCACCCACCTCTCTGCTGGAGCAAGATGAGGCTGTCTGCTTCCACAAAGAGTTACAGCCTCAGAAACCCTATGTAGGGTTGCTGTAAATCAAAATCGCCTCAGTCGCAGTGGGTTTACTTTTTGGTATAATTTAAACTTACCCCAACCCTGTGAAGGTGCTATGGCCTTATTTCATTGGTAATTTACCCAGGATGCCTGGCTAATGAATGTGGTTCAAAACCACTGGCCATTCCATGGGAGAAAGAAGAAACCTTTTGGTCCCATAGAAGTTTAAACCTCGGAAACTCACAGGGGAAGTTCTATACTCCGTCTTTGAGGCAAGCTTTTGAGTCAGAATGGACTTGGTGCCAGTGAGTGTAAATCCTGCCAAGGTGGTGTTCTTGCTGACCCACCCTAGTCGTTTGTTTTTCTGCCTGTGTGTACCGACAGCTTTGCGTAAGGCATCTGTAGCCATGGTCACTTGGGCTGTCGTAGAACTGCTAGCAGATCCATGCCGTCTTCACGGAGACCTCAGTTGTGATTGTGATGGAGGATCTTCAAGTTTTGTTGCGCTCCATTGTGCATTATGCCTTCTTGATCAGAGACATACCAAATATTGTGAGCCTTGCCCAGGTTCTGGCTTCTTACCTTGTTATATTGGCCAGAATACAGTGTAAGGTCCTAGAAACACCTGGAAACACATACTGCTCAGGGAGGACTTGTTACACCCACACATCTGCAATGGCACCATGACTGTTCCCCATGCGGCCTGTGCCTGTTTGCACATCGATCGACTCTAGAATTGGCTATGGGAAAAAGGGCCCAAAAGGGGTTCAAGCATTGAAATATGCTTTTCCTGATTTGCTTAAAGGAAATTTATGTTTTAAAATGACTACAGCTTTTGACATAAAGATTCTGTCCATTGGATTTTTCATCACGTGGCTTTTATTGATGGACGGACCTCCTTTTCTTTGACTTAGGTGAAATATTTATTTTCTGACAAAACCGGAACCCTCACATGCAACATCATGAACTTCAAGAAGTGCAGCATCGCAGGAGTGACCTACGGGTGAGGGTTTTTATTGCTTCCTGAAATTCAAATTTTCATTCTTCCAGCAAAACATTGACCCCCCCATTCATCAAATACTTTGGTTTTCTCATAGCTTGGAAGGGTGTTGGTATGGGAATTAGGAACGTAGTGATTGTTGAATGTGTTTGCAATTTACTGGGCCTCAAATGAAATCTTTGTACAAGGCAGATGATTTGTTTCTCCCAGCACTAGTTTAAGAAACCCCAGGGAATAAAATAACTAAATCAGTATTCATTTAAGGTATCATATGAGTAAGCAAGTGTATGTTTCTAACTTAGTAGTTCCGAGTTTCCTACTCCTGTACGAAACTCTGGTCTCTGAGTGGGGCAAACGACTTGAACCTGACTAGTAACGGAAAGGTTGGTGGTTCAAGACCGCACAGTGAAGCCATGAAAGAAAGGCCAATGAAAGAAAGGCCAAGCAATCTTCTCTTCCGCAAGGATTGGAGCTGTGAACGCCCTATGCAGCCTCCCTGCTCTGTAACACAGGGTCTTCCCATGAGTCAGCCGCGACTCGACAACGGCGGTGCGTGTGGTCTTGTTTTGGTTTGGACATGAATGCCTCTCTTTTGGTAACAATCTTGTGGCCACCGTGTTTCCCTTCCCTCTGGCAGGCATTTCCCAGAATTGACAAGGGAGCCATCTTCAGAGGATTTCTGGTAAGTTGATTCTAGCACTTACTTAATGCACTAGGGGAGAAGGCGTTGGGATGTTTTCCATATTGGCATTTGCCACCTGAATGTAAAAGATGGATGTGTGTTGAGAAAGAGCCAAAATTGTAGCATGAACATGGCTTTTAAAGCCCCTGACTCCATGCTTCCTACTTATTTCCTACTTTCCAGAGGTAGTCAGTGCTAATACTTCTTTAAAAAGAGTGTATTTATTTCCAAACGTTGAAAACACATTTTTTTAGAAAAACATTTTATTGGGGGCTCGTAGAACTCTTATCACAATCCATCCATCCATCCATCCATCCATCCATCCATCCATCCATCCATTGAGTCAAGCACATTTGTACATTTTTTGCCATCATCATTCTCAGAACATTTGCTTTCTATTTGAGCTCTTGGTGTCAGCTCCTCATTTTTACCTCCTTCTTCCACCACCCTCCCTCCCTCCCTCACGAACCCTTGATAATTTATAAATTATTATTATTTTTTTCATGTCTCACACTGACCACTGTCTCCCTTCACCCACTTTTCTGTTGTCTGTCCCCAGGGAGGGGGTTATATGTCGATCATTGTGATCAGTTCCCCTTTTCTCCCCCACCTCCTGAGATCACTACTCTCATTATTGGCCCTGAGGGGGTTATCTGTCCTGAATTCCCTGTGTTTCCAGCTCTTATCTGTACCAGTGTATATCCTCTGGTCTAGCTGGATTTGTAAGGTAGAATTGGGATCCTGATAGTGGGGGGGAGGAAGCATTAGAGAACTAGAGGAAAGTTGCATGTTTCATTGGTGCTATACTGCACCCTGACTGGCTCGTCTCCTCACTGTGACCCTTCTGTAAAGGGATGTCCAGTTGCCTACAGCTGGGCTTTGGGTCCCCACTCCACATTCCCTCTCATTCACAATGATATGATTTTTTGTTCTTTGATGCCTGATACCTGATCTTATTGACACCTCGTGATCACCCAGGCAGGTGTGCTTCTTCTATGTGGGTTTTGTTGCTTCAAAGCTAGATGGCCGCTTGTTTATCTTCAAGCCTTTAAGACCCCAGAGAAAACACATTTTTGATAATGTCTCTAGACTTTTTACTGTGGAAGACAGGGGTGTGAACCATCCCATGTGGGTGCCTTATCTTCTCCTTGGGAAGCACTTAAGGGTTTCTGTGTACCCTTGGCATGGGCAGTTCTGCCATATACGTGGGTGTGGGCTTGTTTTTATTATGTTGACATTTAATGGCCACTCGTGGGGCCCTTTCTATCTGTAAATTTTATTTTCTTGCTTCCATGAGAAGTCATCTCTCCTTCCAATGCCCCTGTTCCCTCTGGTTTCCTATTAGTCAGATATTGAACATCGTAAGGGGATCCTCCAATGTTGTCACCCTTTTCTCTCCCAGCCGGCTGCCTCCACCCACGAGTGACTCATGTGACTTTAATGACCCCAGGCTGCTGAAGAACATTGAGGATCACCATGTAAGTCCAGTCTTTTCTTCTAAGGCATTGGTTAGCTTAGGGTGCGTTGCTGTTTATTTACTTATTTACCTATGCAGGTAACGACGGGGAAGTTGTGATTTAGGAGTTCCTGGAAGAGATGCAACATTGATTGGCTAGTGTTAGTTCTTCAGGGATGTGATTTCAAGCATGTGCATTGAGAACATTTTGCCTAGGTTAGTGTAAAACTGAATTTAAATAGGTCGTGAAGTTGTTGCCCTTAAGAGTCCAGTAATATTGTCTTAAGACCTGAAGCTCATTGTTTTGTTTCTCAGCAAAGTAATGCTTGAACAAGCAGCTTGGTCTTTCTGTGCAACCTGCTTTTCACTAGAGAAGCTCACTGAAGTCATAGAGCTCAGTTGCTTTGTATACTTCTGGAATCCTGTTTCTTTACAGTTATGAATTACATGCATTTGAAAAGAAAAATGGACATTCTTTGGCAGGGGTGCTTGTCATAAGAAGCCTTGGTGTCATGGTTGCACACTGGGCTGCTAACCGCAAGACCAACCATTGGAAGCAAGCAGACACTTCATGGGAGAACGATGGGGCTTTGTACTCCTATAAAGAGTACAAAACCCACAGGGGCACTTCTACCCTGTCCTATAGGGTTGCTGTGAGTTGGCATTGACCTGTGGGCAGTAAGCGAATGAGAACAGACTTGGTCTTAGTTTCCTAGTGCCGCCCGCCATAGCCAAATGCCATAAGAAGGTGGCTTTCAAGCACAATTGTGAACGTCTCACAGTTTGGAAGACCCTCTAAATCCAAACCCACAGCCATCAAGTCTGTTCAGACTCTTAGCGACCCTGTAAGACAGTAGACGTGCCCTGGGGATTTCTGAGAGTAACTCTTTACAGGAGTAGAAAGCCTCCTCTTTCTCCCTTGGAGTGGCTGGTGCTTTAGAATGCTGACCTTGCCGTTAGCAGCCCGATGGGTAAATCACTGTGTTGCCAGGGCTCAGGTCCTTGATGCTAGGGGAACGTCATTCTTTCCCCTGTGTTCCTCTAGCATCTGCTGGCAACTCTTAGCATCGCCAAGTCTATCCGTTCATTTGTTGTGAACCAGCTTTTCTTAGGTTTCGGTGGCAAAGCCAACCGAGAATGGGGAGAGTGAGCCCTGGCACAATGGAAGCCCTGATTTGGGGAGGTTATCATGAACGGGTGAAGAAAATAAGGAACATTTTAGAAGGGTGTTTAAGAATCTGGGTTTTCAATGATCATTAAAAGTGTAACAAGGTCCTTGATTAAGGACTTGATTTCTCATTTTCTGTTTACAGCCTACTTGCTTATGATTGTACATTTTCAACTTTCCCAAGGCCTTCAGCCTTCTAGGCACCCTCCTGGGGTCGTGGGTTGCTAACTGCAAGCTCAGGCATTGCACCAGTTGCTCCACAAGAGAAAAAGGGTGCTCCCGTAAATATTTATAGCCTGGGAGACCCAAGGGGGAGTTCTACTCAGTCCTGTAGGGATGCAATGGGTTGGAATCAACCCCGTGGCAGTGGGTGTCTGGGTTAAGCCTTTCAGGGTTTCTTCATCTTGCCTACTGAACTGATTACACCCTGGGCTTTGCACAGCGAACCCCACTACCACTGCAAAGGATGAGCTATACTGACTCCATTGTTTCTCTGTGGGAAGATGTATGATAGGAGATCCAATGTCCTTAGAGTAAGTGTTTTTTTTTTTAAGATGAAAGAAAATACTTTAATCCTCTTCCAGTTTTATGGGCCAATGTCTAATACTTAAGGCTACGTTATCCCCAAGCCCCTTGTGTTACGGTAGTTGAAAATGTTCAATAGCCCCCGAAGTGAAAGGCATCGCCCTTACGGATATCCGCTTTCCCAGAGATGCAGAAGGCTGTAATTTATTGGGTAGAGTAACCATGGGCTGTAAATGTTCCTTCCTCAGAGGAAGTCTGAGGCTGATCTTCAGGGCATCATAAGGAGAGGGCTTCCTCGCTGGCCAGGTGTTACGCAGCCTCACATCTTTCCATTCCAGAACGGTCTGAGTCCTGGTTCTTTGCTCCTCTCCTGTGGATCAGACCTTACTCTCCTCTCCTTTGAGCTACTGCCAGTGCTTTACGTGCTCGGATCTTCTTTTGAGAAACATCTTTAAACGGTCCAAGCATGGCGCCTCTTCAGAGCAGTGTCAGTTTGCCAGGAGATGGTTGGGGGTGGGGCTGGAAGGGTGGCACTATTTTAGGCTTTCCAACTGCAGGTGCTCCACATTCTTCCCAAGTTGTCTGGGGACCCTAAACTGGACGCGTTGGAAGTAAGAAAACGCTTACTTCTCTCCCAGTGGGATACTTCCATCTGCTGCAGAATTCTCTTTGGCCCTGGGTCATCATTTCTGATTTTTCCTGAGACCTTTAGGACTGTTTTAAGCTTATGGGCTGATTGCCAAGGTGAGACTTGGCATGCAGTCAGAGATTCAACCTATGGAAAATTCCAAGCAGCTATTTATGTAGTCCCTTGATAGCGCCTCTAACCAGCGATTTCCTGCTTCTGAAATGAATTTCTCAGGATTGGCCTAGGAAGAAGGTACAGCTTTTTCTTTTATTGAAGTTTATTATAGGTCTCTTGTTTGAGTCTTTACAAAATAAATCACTTGTGCATATATCCTTATATATACACCTGTGTTTATATATATGTATGTATACACACGTGTGTGTACTTGTCTGTGTGTATATATGGAGCCCTGCTGACATGGTGGTTATGCATTGGGCTACGATCTGCAAGCTCGAAACCCCAAACCCCCCTTGGGAGAAAGACAGGGCTTTCTACTCGTACAGAGTTGGAGCCTCAGAAACTCAGAGGCGCAGTTCTACCCTGTCCTTTGGACTTCTGTGAGTTGGCATTGACTGATGGTAGTGAGTTTGGTTTGGGGTTGAGTTGTGCATATGTTATTTGTGTGCTGCTCACTGGTTTCACTGTAGGCTAAGCACTAGATGGCTCCCAGTTAGAGCCCCCAGCTGCTCTGTGGGAGAAAGCTGCGGCAGCCTGCTTCCATAAAGACTAATAACCACAGAAAACCCAGGCAGCGTCTGCCCTGCCCTCGAGGGTGGCTGTGGATCGCTATCGACTTGGTAGCACAGGGTTTGGTGTGGGTGATGGTTCGTAAGCGCTATAGCTAGAATTGACATGAAAACAATCGCAGACACGGCCTTTTTTTCTTAAGCTCTTCAAGTATATTGACAATTTTTCATTTCTAGATGTGTGGCAATTCGTGTAGATTTTAAAAACAGTCACTTGTAAGAAGATACATCCGGCCTGTCTGGATAGGACAGGCTGGATGAACAATCTGGAGGAGAAAACAACGGGACTGACAGTTCCGGGGGGAC